AAGTACTTAGGTTAATTTAAATATAGATATTATTAATATATATTTTATATATTATTTACCGTTAACGGGAATATTTATTCGGTTTTTCGGGCGCCGCGGAGTAGTAATAATTAAAAGACCCGTATTTACGGAAGTATTAATCGGAATCCCGGGTAGGAGGGTTATATTATAAATAGTATTAGTAATATAATATACCGGGTTCGGGGTAATAAGCCCCGGGGTACTAGGGGGCTTAGGGGCAGCGGCGGACGGTTTAGGGGCGGCGGTAAGTAGTTTAAAGGCGGCGGCGGATAGTTTAAAGGCGGCGGCGGATAGTTTAGAAGTAACGGCGGGCAGTTTAGGGGCGGTAGTAGTATCCTCCTTATACTCCTCCTCGTTATTCTCCTTATTATCCTCCTTATTATTATACTCTTCCTCGTTATATTCCTTATTATTATTCTTATTACCTTTACTACTATTCTCGCTAGTAGGTTCGCTATTATTCTTTCCGGTTATATATATATTATTATCCTTATTACTATTAATAACCTAAAGGCAATTTTATAATAAGTTAGTATATATATTTATTATATATATAAATTAGGGTAATTTATAACTATCTTAGGACGGTACTATTTAATAATAGGTAGTTAAACGAGAAAATTAGTAATATATTACCTCTTAATTATTAATTTATATATAATTGTAGTAGATTGTAGGTAGTGGGTTACTATATTGAATAGGAGGAAGTTTATATTAAATTAATCCCTTTCCTTTATATAACTATAAATAGAGGTATAAAGTATTAGTAATATAATATAAATATAGAGAGGTTATAGTAGGGATAGGTAATTATAGCGAGGAATTTATTTTATAAATAAAAAATTAATTATAAATACTTTTAAATTGCCCGTTAAGCCTAATAAATTCTTCCAACTTCTTACTAATTCTATTTAGAACCTAAGTATTAGTAGGAAAGTAGTGAAAATTATTATAATGCTATTACTAGGTTAGAATATATTAAATTAATATATTATGGAACTATAATTAATAAAAGTAATATATAAGAAATATATATTAAAATATATAAAGAAAGGTATATATTTACGGCTGGCGAACGTTTCTACATCGGTAATACGGGCTCTATTAATTTTAATTACAACCGCGGGATATATATTCCGAAAGTGCTGGCGTATCTTTAAAAATATTAATAAAAAAAATAATTGAATATATATAATTACTAATTAATATAAAGTATACCGTAGGTTGGAAAATTACGTTATTCGTAGTAGTAAATCTATATTACCGGTTGGAGCCGACGATAATAGGATAAATAGTATTATTGACTTTAGAAATAATATAGTATATTAGATTCGGGGTATTAAAAGTATCCTCCTCCTTTAAATCGCCTTTATAGTTTAATACGTATTAATATATATTTAATATAAGTAAAGGTATAAAGGAATAAACTTTACTTTTAATTCTTATAGGCGGAATATAGCTTAGATTAGGGTTCTCCACCGGACTATAGAAATATCCGTACGTAGGGTATAGGTTATTAGCGTAAAATACGTTTACGTATACTATTATAATACCCTATTAATATATATTCTATTTATAAGGGTAAAATATAATTATTTATAAACGTTTGCTAATATTAAGCCCTATAGTTAATTTATTATTTTATTTATAGTTGGGTATATTTATAAAGTAATTCGCGTATTTCGTTCTACGTATAAATCGAAGTTAAATTATAGGTAAGGTAGAAGAATACAAGCGTATAAAATATTTATAGGAGGAAGAATATTAATGTAAATAGTATAATTATTTCCCTACCAACCGTCGATTACTTACCCTCTAACTTATAATATAAGGTTATAATAGTTAGGTATAATAGAAATCTATACGTATAAAATAGGAAAAGTTAACGAGGAAAAAATTAATTTAAATATAAAAGAAAATAAAGAAAGGAGTAATAGTTTACAAATAGAATTTAGTAAATAAATTAACAATTTACCTTACCTTTATCCTAAATAAGAATAGTAAGTTTATAGTTATATTATATTCTAATCTTATATATTTTATAATATAAACATTTATAGAACTAAGTATAACGGTTATTTATTTTTATTTTCGAATTAAAAATTATAACACTTTTATTATTTACTTCACTTTAATATTATAAATAGGATTTACAATATTTATACTACGAATAATCCCTTATTCTATATTTTTTAATAAGATAATATTAAAATTGAATAATAGTTACTAATTTATATACTACTATATTATTTTGTATATCTTCGTATATATAGTATATATGCGGATATACTATTTACTTACAATTAGATTCTCCGCCGAAAGCTCGGATATATAACTATTATATATCTATCTACCTTTACCTACTTACTCTCAGCTCCAACGTATCCTCAAATTCGTCAGTAGTAGTAGCAATTATAATAATATAACTATATATATATAGGTATATATATAATTTATAAAAGTAAATTATATTTTTTATATTTATTAAAGGTAGAGGTAGGTGTATTATATTGAAGTTTGCTATTAATATATCTACTATACTTACATCTATTCCAAACTTCATTTTAAAATTATTTTCTATATAAACTAATTTAATAATATATATAACTATACGTTACTAGAGCCTTTATTTATATTCTATAGTATGTATTTAGATATATAGTTAGTATATATAAACTTACTCCTTATTGGAGTCTAATATAATAGTATCCTTAAACTTATTAGTCGCGGTAGCGACTTTAACCGTTATATTATTAAATTGTACGATGCGTTCCTTCAACCTCTTAACTTTAGCCTCGAGGCGGCGGAAGACGGGAGCGGAAATAGGCACTATACCGGTCTTAAAAAAGGTAGTAATATTAGCCCTATATATAATTTATATATAATTAGGATTTTATTTACTATTGTTATTAATAGAAATAAACGAATTTATATTAAAGAAATAATATAACCTTCCTCTACTAGGGTAAGTAAACTTTTAACAATTGCTTTTATAATATACTATTTTCTATAGCGTTTAATATAGCTAGTATACGGTAAAGCGTCCTAAGCGTTATACGCTTTAACTAGGTACAATAGTGCCTAAATATACTAATAATAGTTCACGACCTTATATAGTTCGTATATAATATTAGGGATAATATAGGTATAATTCAAACTATACTTAATATAGCGTTAGTAGTCACCGTCTGTAGTAAGAAGTATAAGGGTATTAGCCTTATTCTATATATTAAATATATAATTAGTAGATTAAAAATAATTATTATAGTATTACTAGTAGGAAATTTACGGCTATAGTAAGTAAATTATTCTTAGCCTTAATTAAGGCCGCTTTATTAGTTCGAAAGTTGTATTTGCGGGTGGCTTTACGGGTATAACGTTCTTCTTTACATTCACAATATAGAAGTGTCGTTTGTAAGGGGGGGCGGCCCCAGCTATAAGGGGTAGCGGGTTTATAACGCCTCGCCGGGGTAAGTATAATTATATTATATAGCGCCTAGGCTTTATTAATTATAAGTATAGCTACGTTGCTCCTTTTAATAGTATTATTAGTAAAATAAAGTATTATATATATATTATATATAAGGTAAGGATACTTCTAATAAGTTTTAGGGTAAGAATAATATTAAAATAGTTTACTTACAATTATTTATAAAAGTTAATAGAGGTTATAATTATAGTGTTACGGGGCGCGAGCAAGCACTAAGGTAAGACTTTAATTATTGTGCGAGGAATAGGAAGAGAATTCTGTACGCGCACAAGAACTATATAGGGCACGCTTGTATATAGATCTAGTATACGGACTACAGTATATATGTACGTAACTACTATACTATACTTAGGCAGCTATATAACTAACTATATTAATATAGTATAATACCCTCTATTTATATATAGGAATATAGTAGTAATGTTTGTAATACTACCCCCCTCTTAAACTAATGCTCCCGCTCGAAAAATCTAATATTATATTTATTATTAATAAGGTAGAACTCGCCCGGCCTTCCTGTAGTTGCGCCTAATTAAGTGCCGGCAAAAAGTTTTATTAAAACGGAAAGCCGCTTAGCGCCCGCCGGTGCTTTAATTCCCGCCTAAGAGTAGAATACTAACCAAAATATTACTAAATCTAACCCTTCCACCGTAAGAGCTATTATTACCCTTAATAATCCATTAGAACGTTCTAATTATTATATATAAAGAACCTTAACGATTCTTATTATTACTAGCCCTACTAGGGGTACTATAGGGACGCCTATAGTATAACGGTTTATGTAGGATGCCTATAGCTGCTATTAGTATAAATTCGAAAGTTTGTATATTCAATTCCCTACTAGTAACTATTTTTCGTATAAACGTTCAAATATATACTATTAACGTCTCTTAGATCCTTCTCATCTTTTAATTTTATTTACTATAGGTTTCTAGTATAATTGTAGGCCGTTTCGGGGGAATAGGAGATGTAAGACCGTTGTAAGATGTATTATCTCTCGGTGCTATTGACGGTTATTTTGAAAAAGGGTATATTAAGAGGCATTCAATTAGGGTGCGCGGAATAAGTCGAATTGAATTTCTTTCTTTTTACCGCTTTTTTACTTATTATTTAGTTTCGTACTTCTTCTCACTTGCCGGTTGTTTGCCGCTGGAGCTGCTGTGGCGGGGACGGTGCTGGGGGCTTCGTCCTCTAAGAGTGTCTTTATCTTTTACTATATTTTCTATCCTTTTCTAAAATTTGGGTATAGAGGTTCGAATTCTAGGTAATCGTTATAAAATTACTAGACTAACTCTTAATAACCGTTAAAGTTCTTGGCCGGTTACTAATCTAGTAGGTAATATGACTATTTTACTAAGTACTTCTAAGAGCTATCAATTTTTTGGTAACTTAGTAATTCTTTAAACTCCTAGCATCTATCCTCCTTGAAATTGTTTATTCTAATAATAATTATATCTTCGTTTGCTTTAACGTCTATTATTAATTTTCTTTAACCGGGGAGTCCTTCAATATAAGGCTTAACGCGGGATATATTAATAATATAAGTAACTTCTATATTCCAAGGTAAAACTAATTCTACTATATACGAGTTAGCCTTTATAATACGGAAAGGTCCTTCGAATCGGGGTGCTAGTTTATTATACGGTCGGCCTATTATATAGTTAGCTATATTAAATATAACTTCGTCGCTAATTTTATATTTAGGAGTGTCTATACGTTTCTTATTTACCGCCGCTTTATAGCAATCCTATATTTATAAAGAGGATATTTTAATAAAGTTCTAAACCTTCTTAAACCGGTTAATTAGTTAGTTTACGCTAAAGATCTACTTCTTCTACGCCTTAATTACGTTTGGGGGTAGTAGCGTAGTTGGCTCTATACTTATTCGTAGGTAAAAACTATAATTGGTGAAGAACAGTATAACTCCTATTAATACTAACTTAAAATTATTTCTTTGAAATTTAATTAAGGGTAACTAATCTACCCAATCGTTTTAAGCCAAATTAATAAATATTTGCAAATATTATTCTATTTTAACGTTAATCCTTTCGGTCTAATTATTTATTTCTTTATAGTAGGGGGTTAAGAACTTTAATTTAATACCCAATTAATATAATAATTATTTTTAGAAAAGTAATACGAATTAAACGCCTTTATTAAATATAATAGTATTTAAAAGGCTGTAGAGGGTATAAATCCAATTAATAAACTTCTATACTAATTTTTCTATTAATAGCTCCTCTATCAGAATAAAGTATTTTATTTTTATTAGCCTATCTACTACAACTGGTATATATTAATATTCAATACTTTTGCCTACCTGCCTTAATTTTGGGAATAGGGTAATATAGTTAATAGAAATATCCTTCTAAAAGGTATATAGGATTAATAGAGGTTTAAGGAATCCTACTAGTAATATTCTAATAGCTTTAATTTTACTATATAGAATATATGCCTTATAGTAAATATTTATTATAACGACTATTCCTAGCTAGAAATACTAATATATTAATACTACTATCTTATCTCTTCCGAGGTAGCCCTTTTATACTAACAAATAAATATAATAAATTAATTCTAATTAGACTTTCTTATTGTTAGGAGGTACTACTAGCCTATTTCGGAATATTACTCTATTATTAATTATATAATATTCGGCGAAAAGGATTTTTAATTTCTTTTTTAAATACTTTAACTAACGGTTTCCCGCTCGGATAATTTCTTAGATATCGGCTATTATAGGGGAATTAGTATAGGTCCAATTTATTAAATTATCTATATAAATACCCAATCTATCGTCTTCTTCTTTAAAGCTATCTTCTAAAATATATACTACAAAAAGAGCTCCCTCTTCCGATATACTATTTATTGTAAACCCTTCGCTATTAATATTTATAAGCTACCTATCCTTAAAAAACTAGTCAAAATAATTTAAATTAATAAATAATTTCTACCTTACCTTAAACCTATCGTCTATCTCGTCCCTAGGTATATATTCTAATTTCCGACTCAAGGCGTCGGATTTAACATTAATTAGTCCCGGCTGATATTTAATTGTAAAGTTGAATCTTAATAAGAATTTAAACTACTTTATATATTTAAGGGTCAGCTTTTTTATAATTCTAAATATCTTTAAATTCTTATAATCCGTAATAATTTCGAAAGGTTAGGAAACGCCTTCTAATTCTAATTGCTATTCTTCTAATATTTTAATAACTACTAACAATTCCTTATTGTAAATATTGTAATTGTACTCAGCTACTGAGTATTTAACTAAAAAATAGGTTATTAAGTACAATTTACTATTATATATTTGAGATAATATACCTCCTAATAACTAATTTAAAGTATTTATTTTAATAACTATTAGTTTCTTCCAATTGTAGATTTTTAGCACTGGGGCGGATGTAAACGCTATTTTCAAGGCTTCGAAAGCATTATTATATTCTTTATCCTACTTCTAATTAAGAATTTTCTTTATAAATTTATAAAACGGTTTACCTATATAGGAGAAATTAGTGATAAACCTTCTATAAAAATTTATAAACCTTAGAAAACGCTTTAATTAATGTTTATTTATAGGTATTTCCTATTTAGTAACTACCTTTACCTTCTTGGGGTTTATCTTAATACTACTTAAGGTAATAATTAAACCTAAATATTTAATTCTCTATATATAGAACTTATATTTATTAATATTAATCTAAAGACTAACGTCGATCAATTGCTAAAGCACCTCCCGTACGTATATAATGTAATCTTCGTAGGTTTCTAAGAAAATAAGTACGTCGTTAAGGTAGGTTATTATATAAATATTAAGGATATTGTACAATATATTGTTAATAAAGTTCTAGAATAATACTAATACTCTTAATAACTTAAATAGGTATACTAATAATTTGTAAAGGCTAAATTGTATAATAAATACTATTAACTACTTATATCCTTCTACTATACGCAAATAATTGAAAATTATAATTATATTAACCTTTATAAACTATTTTACTCTATAAATAACGTCTAATATTTCTTTAATTAATAGTAGCAAATACTTATTTTTCAAAGAAATATTATTAATACCTCTATAATTAACGCAAATCCTCACACCGCTGCCTAACTTTCTTACTAATAATATTAGGGACGCAACGTCTAAAATTAATAGCTGGATAAATCCCTTTACTAAATTATCGTTCAATTACTATTTAATAATTTTTAATTCCTAAGGAAATATAAATTTTACTTTAGAATAGAATAATAATTCTACCCCCAGCTTTAATTCAATTTTATAATCGTATGAACAGTGCTCGGGGATTACTTCAACGTCTATAAGGTTCGTAATATATAACAAATCCTTATATTTATTAAAGAATTGTACTTTTACCTATTCTAATATATATTTTAATTTTATTAATTTTTCTATAAATTTTTATATATTTTCCTCTATAATACTACAAATTCTACTAATTTTGGTTAATAGTGTAGGTTCTCTATTCTTTTACTTTTCTTCTCCTAATTTTAATTTACAAATTCGATTAACGAAGTCTTAGGCTACTTTGCTAGGTTAAAGGGATTATTCGCCTATATTCTCGCTTACGGTTTTTTTCTTATATAGATTAATAAATTCGTAGATTCTAATATCCTTAAAGTAGTACTTATAAGGCTCGCCCTTACTTTATATAATATCCTTCTAAGTATTCTCCGATAGAGTTAGTATAGAAATAGCTTCTTTTTTCTCCTTCTATACTTCTTAAAATTCTACTTATATTATTAAACTTATTTAAACTCCTTTTAGCCTAGTATTAAATATAAATATTCTTATATTAACTAATTTAAAATCGGAAAGGTCTAATATTACTATATTAGTTATAGGTTCGAAGGGTTAGAATATAGTACGTTTAACCCGCTCTAATCGGAGTATCGTCTAAATCCCCCGTCCACTAATAATCCTAATTTATATCTAAACTTTCTTTAATATAGACTTCCTTTCTAAACCGATAAGTTCTTCAAATTCGCCTACGTAGGTTAGTAGAGATAGGGGTTCTATTATTATAACTTAGCTTCCTTTAGGGGCTTTCGTAATATTAATCGCCTAATTAGGAGGGTCTTCTTTAAATTTATTTTCGGATTTATTTTTAGGGTTGTAATTGTCCTTAGATTCTTCTATTTCCTCTATCCCCTAGAATTCTTCTATCTCCTAAATTTCCTCTAGGAGTACTACTACCTCTAAAGATTGGTTTATATACGTCCCTATATACCTAATGTTCTAAATAATTTTATTAACTACCTAATCTATATTTAGGTTATAGAACTATAATTATAACTATTCTAAAATAATTAAGTAATCTATTGCTAGATTAGCTATAAAAAATCGAATAACTTCTTTATAATTATTAATACGTATAGTAGCTTCAATGTACTAATTTACCTATTCTTTAAATATACCGTCTATTAGGTATAATAGTTTTAGCTTTTCTAATATTTTAAATTCTAAGTAAACTTTCTCCACAAACGAACGGTCGATAAAAGCTTTACCCGAATAATTAAAATTAATTAGTAATATATATTCTACTTTACTATTACACTAGGGATACTAAAGATACGTAGAAAGAAGGGTTGTATTTTACTTATAGAATTCTAAATTATTTAATTTAAACGGCTCTATCCTCTAGTAATTAAACGTACGAATATTAAATCTACTTACCCTTATTTTCCCTTTTTATATTCCGGAATACCCTAGAATACGATTTAACTCTAGGGTTCGCTATTTCCCTATTAGGTTAGGGCGGCGGGGGTTAAAGCCGCCGGGGCTACCGGGGCCGCCGGTACCGCCAGTGCCGGGTTAATCATATTTACTATAATCTAGTTAGTAACCGGGGCGCCTGTATTAGACCTCTAGCGTATAGTAATGCTTAAGCTAAATTGGTTAGCCTATTTACTTCTAGGATTGTAATTAGTATTATTTTTACAATCCTCAACTAAATACCTTCTTTTACTATAATTTATATAATTACCTTTATTGTAACGTTCCTACAATATATTCTTATAGATTTTCTTAAATTTTATATAGTTAATATCTATCAAGTCGGGGTCCTTCTATTTATTACTACTACTACTATTACTACTACCGCTATTATTATTAATATTAATCACCTAAATATAATTATTATAAGCGATACTTTAATATATACTTTAGTAATACTGTAAAATAGGTTTAACTATCCCTTCTAATTGTTACATTCTAGTTAAATATAGTAGTAAAAGATTAAATTAGTTATAAATTTAAATACCTTCTAATATAAGAGTCGGATTTTAGTAACTATATTATAATTATATTAGTCTGCTAACGAAATGAATTTAGCTTCGAAATTCTCGTAATTAGCGTATTTTCCAATTTGCTTGAAGCTTAGCAGCTCTTTCTCTATAACAACCACAAAATCTCCTTACTTATAATACTCGTTTAAATAATTAAGGAACTCCTCGCCTATCTTCTATTTCTAATAAATTAAATAGTAGGGGTTATTTAGAATAAATTAGTAATATTTACTAACGCTAACCTTAGTTTCGCTACTTAGGTAGGCTATAGTATAGAGGAGTTTAAATAGCTCGTTGGGGAACTTATATCTATCTATTAACTAGTAGCTACGAATAGTTGAATTCTAAGTACTATAGGCGTTATAACGTTTAATTATATTTATCTCCTCGCCGCTAAAGTATTCGGGGTCCTTATAGAGAACCTTATAGTAGTAGTTAGGCTAGGGGTTAGAGAGAGGGTAATTATAACTTCTAGGTCCGCCGGGTCTGCTAAGGCCGCCGGGTCCGCTTGGGAAGCCTCTACTGCCGCTGGGACTTCCTAGTCCGCCGGAGAATCCTCCTCCTCTTCTTGGGAATCCTCCTCCTCCTCTAGGGAATCTTCTACCGCTTAGGAATTTACTATTAGGGAATCTTCTACCTCTAAAACCGCTGCTTACTTTACTAGGGTTAGAGCCGGTTTCCCTACCCGATTTACTAGGGCTGCTATCGTTAGGACTACTACTTATATTACCGGGGCTAAAACTAGTTCCCTTACCTAATCTATTAGGGTTGCTATTATACTTTATACTAATTTCCTTATTTATAATATCTTCGACTGTAGTTTAAAACCTACTTTTATTAACTATTTTAAATTATTTTTAGGCTACTACTAGATTATTTTCGGCGATAAATATACTCTCCTCGGCTAGACGGAGGTTGTCCCTAACGGTCTTAATATCCTTTTATATCTTAGTAGACTCCTCTTATATAATTTTAATTATAATATATATATTACTATATTCCTATTTAAATTTATTAAACGTAGTGTTGGCCGTAGCTAATAAATCGAAGATATTCTAATAATCACTCTCCTTCTTAATAATAATTCTTACTATAGTACTCTCCTAGGCTGCCTTCTCCCTCTTAATTATAGTTAATTTCTACTCTAAAAATACATTATCCTTAAGGACTTAATTATATTAAGTTTATAGGACCTTCAATTAATCTACGAACTACTTTTTAATACCTTCCAATTTATTAATACAGCTAGTAATCTTTCCTATCTTATAGCTCGTCTTTTTAATATAGGCCTTAGCGTCGCGTTCGTAACTTATAAATTTCTCCTACTCAACCGTAATATTTTCATTAAGTAGTTTAATCTTTTTATTAAAATAGTATAAGAGTTTTATAATTTCTTTATAACCCCTAGCCTATATTATAAAGTTAAGTAAGACCCGGAGGCCAATATTAGAATTATTACCGCAAATTACAAATAATATATTATAACCTTCGAATAAAGTAAGAAAAACCGTAGCAAGGTCGACTTGACCGTCGCCGGTATAATCTTAATTACTAAACATCTTACTTAAGTAAATAACTAGATTAATAGCTTATTAATAACTAAAATAAAAAGAAATATTATTTACTATATTATACAATATAATAATTGCGCCCTTATTATTCTGAGTGTTTATTTACTATTCAAGGGGTCGACTTCAGTATCGACCTTAGTATTACTATAGTCTCCGATTCGCTATTAACGATTATACAATTCATTAAAGAGTGAATTTCGCGAGAACCAAATTATTACGTTAACCTCTACTAAACTCAGTTCAACCGAAATTACTTATTACGTTTTAATACGAAGGTTAGGTACAATAAAGTATTATAGGGCGCGAATAAGTACTAAAGTAAGACTTTAATTATTGTACAAGGAATAGGAAGAGAATCCTGTACGTGTACAAGAACTATATAGGGCACGCTTGTATGTGGATCTAGTACACGGACTATAGCACGTGTGCACGTGACTGCTGTACTGCACTTAGGCAGCTATATAGCTAACTGTACTAATATAGTACAGTACCCTCTATCTATATATAGGAACATAGTAGTAATGCCTATAACATATAGGTAGGTAATTAGTAAGCGAAGTAATACGGCGATGTAATATAGTAGCGATAGGGGGGAAAGAAAAAGAAAAAGAGGAAGGAGAAATATTAAAATTAATATAGAGTAGTAGTAAGAGGAAGGAGACGTATATATAGTACTAGTATAGTAAATAAATTTAAAAGTTTAGACGTATATACTATTCCTTAAACGGTTTAGCGCGGTCTGTCAAATAAACGCTTATATATATATATATAAATAGAGGTAAGAGTATATATATTAATATATATATATTAGTTTAAGAAGATATATATTTATAAATATATATATATTAGGCTAGTTTAGTAAGATATATATATATAGATATATATTAGTTTAAAGAGATATATATAGATAAGTATATAAATATTAATTTAAGAAGGATATATATTAAATTTCCGGTTATTACTAATTTCTCCAATATTCTTACGTACTTTTTAGTCTCTTAGGTCCTTATTTAATTAGGTTCGTAAATTGATTCGAACGCTTCCTAACGCCGGTTGAACTTAGTAATTAGATAAGTTAACTACTAGAATTAGATAATAAAGCATTTTGGTATAAAGAAGTTAATATTTTTTATAAATAAGGATTTATAGTACTATTATCCGTCTATAAGAATTAACGTTAGTATATATATTAAGTATATAGAATATTAAATAATAGGACTTATTTATTTACTAGTCTTATTTAACTATACGTTTAATTATACTATATATCCTCTAACTTACTATTTATTTTATTCTAATATATAACGACTTT